CTTCCGATTCCTGAGGTCAGAGTCCCTCCGCAGTTAAACTGAGCTGTGAGACCCAAAAAGTTGATATCCTCATAGCAACATCAATTTGCTTGTAAACCGCCCAACACTAGTAAACCCACGTCCTATGTTGGCAAGCTGCTTCACTCATGTAATTCTTCGGGTCTTTACATAGTTTTCTGAGTCTTGTCTGCTGCAGCTTGTAGCAATTCCTTCTTACTCTGTCCTTAATGACAAATAAGAATAATTGGTTTGTCTCCTATTAATAATGTCCCTCAACATGTATCTTCCTTCAAGCTGGAAAGTGCTCCGGTCTCTTAACCTTTCCTTATAGGTCAAATCTTTTATCATTTTATTGCTTTCCTCTGAACTCTTTCTACTGTGTCTCTGTCTCTTTTTTAAGTGCAGTGTTCAAACCTGAATGCAGTAGTTCAGTTGGAGCTGAGTAGAGCAGAATAATTAATTACCTTCCTTGTTTAATGTAACCCACTACACTGTTTGCTCTCTCCACAGCGGCGTCACATTGTTGACTTATTCCATTTATCATCAACACTAACCCTCAGATCTTTCTCCATGGCACGACTGCCTGGTCAGCATTCCCAATTACATATTTGTGCATTTGATTACACTTTCCTGCATGGATCTCGTCATATTTGTTCTTATTGAATCTCACATTATTGATTCCAACCCCGTTTTGCCAATATATGAAATCGGTGTTGTATTTAATTCCCATCTTCTGAAGCATTTATGATCGCTCTTGGCTTGGTATTATCTGCAGAGTTGATCAATGTACTCTCTATTCCGACATCCAAGTTGCTAATAAAATACTGAATAGCACTGGACCCAGAAGAGACCCTTGTTGGACTCCATTAAATATCCATGTTCTCAACTTGACATATTGAACCACTAATAACTACTTTTCATTTCTGACATTTTTGCCCATTGTGTTTCCATTTTACAACAGTTCCATCTGAGTGACGTTTTTCTTTCTGTGATAATCTAAGGAACTTACGTAGCTGCCACTCAAGTACTTCAGGTGGCTCAGTGCCTCCTGACCATCAGGTTTACTTCCAACACCCCTTTGAGGAAGGACAGTGCTATAGTCCTCTTCTTACGGAGGGAGTATGGAAGCACAGAGAGAGGGATGAGGGTATCTCTAATTGGCCACCCTCGCACTCCAGGGAAGGCCAGGTTTTGAGCATGCCCTCCCCACCTGCTCTGACTCACATGCACCAACCCTGAAAGCGAAGCCGTGTCAGGACCGGGCTCTACCACCCCTCTCAAGATCTCTGTCCCCAGCGTGCTTGAGTGCGGTGGTAGGGGAGTGGCTCCACACTCCCTGGAGGGGCTTCATTGGCTTATTTGCAGATTTGGCACATGTGAGTGAAAGCGGGTAGGTAGGATGTACTCAAGAGGAATGCTCTCCAGGAGTGATGGGCTGCAATGTAAACATACCCTCTGTGATCCTCCCAAGCAGGACTTTGGAGCCAGGTTGCCTGTACCATTGACCTGTCCTTTGTCTGACATCACAAGCAGCTACCATATTGTTGATTACATGTTGGCCCTGCATATAACTGAGCCCATCTTTTCTAGTTTAGCTGTAGCAAAAACATTTTCCCTGGCTATGAATAGATAACTACGGGGAAAGACCTTAAATGACTACTGCCCTTACAAATTTGACAGGAGAATCAAATAAACAAGGAAAGGACCCAATGCGTGTAAGGCACCAATAATACTAAAATAAAAACTGCTCTTAAAAGAAATCTGATTTAGTATTGTTATTACACACGCCAAAATACAAAGTACAGAAGCCAAGACTGTCAGGGGCCCAATTCTAAGTTAACCCTGCATATAAGTTGAGTCCAATTTTTATGGTTCATTTGGAGGGTAAACATGGTAGACTTATAATCAGAACAATGCAGTAATTTATATTTTTCTATGTCTTTGGCATTTTCTTTTCTAATGGAAGGTTATACTTGCAGGGCAGGGCTGACTTCTACTTGGAGGAACAGGATGGAAGATTTTGCACTGCTATAAGAATACAGACTGAATCCTCCCTCTCATTCCATGGGAATTGCACAGGCAGTTTGGGGGCCATTAATTTGGTAATGAGTGAAAGCATGGGTCTAGATTAGATGCAGCGACTGAATTTCCCCTGTTCCTGAAGATGGCAGCTGGATCCATGGGAACTGAACAATCCTGGGAACTGGATTCCCTTAGCCACCTTAGGATATTGGTGCTGTGAGGACACTATCCCTGTCTATCTTCGCTGACTCTGACCAATAGAAGAGGAATGTGAGTCCCCTTTGTTTGTCCTTTCATTTTACAGGCTTGGTTTCCCCCTTATAGGCTTATTCCTCATCCCATTGAAATCAACGAAAAGACTCCAACTGAATTCAATGGACTTTGGATCCCCTTAAATCTTAACAGTTTCCACAATCCAGGTTGCTAAGTGCACAGTAAAGATCAATCGAGTGGCATTTCCTGAGATGAACCTTACAAATTGATCTGCTTTTCAACAGGTGTCCCATCCGGTCCCCGCAATGTTATCTCCATTGTCAATGAAACGTCTATCATCCTAGAGTGGCACCCACCCCGGGAAACAGGCAGCCGTGATGACGTGACCTACAACATTGTCTGTAAGAAGTGTCGGGCTGACCGCCGCAGCTGCTCCCGCTGTGATGACAATGTAGAGTTTGTACCCAGGCAGCTGGGTCTGACAGAGACTCGGGTTTTCATCAGCAACCTTTGGGCCCATACGCCGTATACCTTCGAGATCCAGGCCGTCAATGGTGTTTCCAACAAGAGCCCCTTTCCTCCACAGCACGTCTCAGTGAACATCACCACAAACCAAGCCGGTGAGTCCTGCAGGGGTACAGTCCAGATACCTCTTGCAGGGTGTGGAATTTTTAATGAGGAAAAGGGAAACCCAGCCCTTTTTTTTCCCTAAAGTCATACCCTAGGAGCCACAAAATACACATATTAAGCATGGCATCACAGAGACTGTAAATGGAATAGAAGTGGATACATGTAAAATGGATGCATCCACCTCTTTATACACACACTCAGACTTGCAAATAAATATATGCATGTGCACACAGTTCATCTGCAAGACATATATAAGAATTCTTTAAGTATCAGTGCAGGCCAAGGTATATGTAAAGCAGTATCTGCAACTCATGATCAGCACAATGTGTCCACAATCTATCCTCTCCTTCAAAAAATAAACAAAAATCTTCTAGCCTGTTAGGTGTGAAGAAATCCTTTCCCGGCTGACCTGAATATAACTGATGCAGTTATGTCTACTTAAGTATGCAGAGAGCCTGAAACAATGGTACCAAGAGAGATGAACTCTCCCTGGCATCTAAGGTCAAGTGATGGCTTGACCTAACATTAATGACTTTCTTGTTGCTTGTTTTAACAAATGGAATCAGGAATGAGCAAAAGGGAACTGAAAATTCAAAGTTGCTGCTGGGTGGGAAATGCAGACGGAAGAAAGGAGAGACACAAAAAAGCACAAGGGAGGAGGGAGAGAAATAAAGGAAAGGGAATGGGGAAAGGAAGAAAAGGAAGGAAAGAAATAGCACTGGGCCTAAAAAGGAATTGAGCGATGCTTATTGGGTAGTAACACACCAAATAGTTAATAAACCATGTGGATGGCTAAAAGTTCAGTTCCTCCGTAAAGCCTGAGCTCCCCCAGTCTCTCTGCAAACCTTCTGTTGACATTAACAGAAGCTCCACTGGGCCTCCAGGGGATTATGGAGCCCCTGTGTCATAGGCCAGGGTCAAACTTGTTGTGTAGAAGAAAGTGTAAATACAATGAACTTTGGAATGAAAGATCTCAGCTTCAAAGTCAATGTTAGGCATGTAGCAAGAGGCTCCCAGGGCTTTATTATGCTTATTTGTGTTAGAAAGTGTCGTTTCAAACTCAGAGCACTAGCCATACCCTGCACTCCTGTATCCTTCCAGCACCCTGTGAAAGGAAGGCAGTAGAACAGGTGCCACCTACCGGGGGGTTTCTACCATGAGGAAGGAGATGCAGTGCATCTGTGGGTCAGGATCTAATGGGGTTATGCTGCTATAGGAATGCACCACAGCACTATGCATCCCACAGTTGCACCGACCACATGCCTGGGCAGCATTGCCCACATGCGGGACGGTTCTGACACCCTGCTGGCCACCTGGCAGAGAGGAGCGAAGGTTGCATTGCACCAACACAACACCTCTGGTAGATTTCCCATGGCGGGGGGAAGGGGGTACTGAGGCCATTGCACTGAATCTAGCCACTAACAGTGAACAGCCAGCTTTGCAATGAGGTCACTTCTGTGAGTGCACAGTTCAGGCTGGCAAGGCTGGAGCAACACAAGTCATTGCACTAATGCTGAGCAAAAGTCAGATCAGCTTTGCAGAGAGGAGTGACCACGTGCTGAAATCAGAAGGGAAACAGCATACAGACCCCTTCTCTTCCTGGCTCTGTTGATTTCTCATTTTCCTGGTTCTCTTTCTAGCACCCCGCCGCTTTCTCTCCGTTTCCCTCCTATTCTTTTTTTCTTCTTCTCCAGCATCATGTTCTTCGTCTTTTCTGACCTTGCTTTTCTTTTCTCTGTTTCTCTTCCTCTCTTCCCCTTTCATCTGCTTCTCCTTGATTGTTTTCTTCCCACCTCCCTCTCATTACTACCAGGCATTATTATTTTAGCAAATGATTCTTGGTTGCAATCCACCTGAATGGTGAAGAGTAGCAAAGATATAGAGTTGGAGTGTCCAGATGGCTGGTCTGTGCAGTGTGCACTTGTCCTATATGTGGGGCTGAAAAGAAGGGGGAGGAGGAGATATGGCTGGGGGGGCAGCTACCAGTTGGTGACCCTGGCCTAAAGTGTAGTGAAGGAAACAGTAGACAAAGGTGATGGAAATCTGTACAGTTTGGAAACAGAAAGGGGATGGTAATTTCTCCTTTGTACTGCACATGTAACACAGGCAGCCTTTGTTAACTGTACTCCCCTGGGAGAGTGCAAGACAGAAACCTGGAGTAAATATTTTAGTATCCTGGCTCCTGGGAATAAAAATTCTGTCAGGCTGTCATGTTATGTTTGTGCCTGGCTGTCATTTCTATCTTTCTAACCATGTGCAATCAAACCTGCCACTTGTATCTAGGCCTTTCTGCTATTCCCCCTGCCCAGCCCTCCATCCATTCTGCCGTTCACCCACCTGCCCATCTGCTTTATCCATCCATCTGTAGCTCTTGCCGTGCCGAAACCCTGGCTACCAGCAAGTCCATTTCACCCTGTTGTAAGCAAGCAGGACACCACAGAAGCTCACAAAGCACCTAGACCAACAACACTGGTCTGTCCATCCGGCCCCCCACACAGGGTAGTTTCCCTTGGTTTCTTTGTTATCTTTTCACCTATTCTTTCATTGAGTTCTTTTGTCTCTGCCTGTCAGTCAGTATTATTCATCCATCTCTTCCTCCCTCCCTCCCCATCTATTTTCTGTTGCAAAACCTGAATATTAACATAGAAATATTTCCATTGTATTGGGATGGGCTCTATAATAACCTAATTGAAATGCATTAGGTTTCAGTGCATTAAGGATGGTATCACTGTTTAAGGAACCACAAACAGAAATAAATATTTGGCTGCTACATGTGAGGTTTTAACATTCAGGAACTGTTTAAGCAGGCTGTGGATGGGGTGCCAGGTATTGAAGGGGAATAAGAGGAGGTTAATGGGAGTGTACAGTCAGAACAGATTGTGCAGGTTCTGTAGTGAATCAGTCAGCACTGGTTAATGTTTTAGTTTAGCTGGTCCTCTCTTTGTTACTGACCTAAGAGCATGGTATACTTCTAAGCTGTACATGTTACTGCTAAGGCAGAAAATAGCAAGCACCATGTTATTATAGTCCGTTATGTCTGCACAAACTGTCTGTCAGTGAAAAAGCCTATTTAGAAGCTGTGTGTCATTCTATTAAAATCCTTCACAAGAGGTAGGAAAAAATGGACTCTAAATATTGGTAAATGACAGAAGAAATGTTATGCGCTGGATTTGTCTAGTATTTGTTGTCAATTCCCTTCAGTATAATGAGGCCAATTAAGTCTTTTTAATGGAAACAAACTTGAATCCCTTTCCTCAGTCCGTAAGAACATCCAGACATCCAGATCTGTACACTTATCTTAACCATCTGTCTGCCCATTCACCCGTAAATATCTCTCACTATCAATCTCTCTCTTCATTCTTCTCTAACAGCTATCTGCCCTTCTGTCCATCCATCTTCCATCCAAATACTCACCCACACATTGCCTTTCTAGCTATTCCAATACTTATTCGTTCACAGCCTCACTCTGAAGCCTTGTGAAATGATCCAAGGGTGCAAGACTCCTCCTGGAGGTGGTGCTTTTGTGGTATCACACACCTGTTTATTGCCCATTGTCCTGGTTCCTTTCCTTTGAGATTCTTCTAGTCCACAAATAGATATCCACGGATATCACCAAGTTATAGTACTATCTGCTGTAGAGAAACAGATGGAGGTAAACAGATTGACCCAATAGACAGAGAGAGAGAGAGACAGAGAGAGACAGAGAGAGAGAGAAGACATGCAAATTTATGAGAGACAAAAGAAAAGAGGATAAGGGAATAGGATACAAAGAATAGGAAAGGAAAAAGAGAAAGAATGAGAAAGATGGTGCCTTTCTTAAGCATATAAAGCTTTCTGGGCTCAAATCTGTCTTGACACACACTGTTTTTGGCCAGCCTTGTTGAGATCAATATGGCTGCCAGGGTGTAAGAGGGGGCAAACTGTAGGCCTATTTTATTTTAGTGTGCTATGGCAGTTACTTGGCAAGGAGTATAGTTCAGATTTTTTTGCTTAGCTCCTCTATTTCCTGGGCTAAGTTCCACTTCTTTGAAAATTTATTGACTCCTGAGCACCAGCTTAAATCTGGGTTCACAGACATAAATAAGGTAACGTTTTCAGAAGCAACTCTATGATCTAGGAGGCTGAGCCTCACTGTTTTCCAATGGGGCAAGCCCCTATATCATTCAGACCTTTTGGAAAATTGCCCCCTTGTTCCCTAACAAGTATACTGGGAGGTAGACAGGTAAATTCTGGGAGCTGGGGACAAGTTCTCACTGCTGTGGAGACTGGTGTCACTCTTTCTAGGGCTCCCTCTGCCATGGACATTGCTGTGGGGAAGGACTTTCTATTCCCCACATTGAGATTTGTGTGATAGTCCTGTAGATGCTTCCCAGACAGATCCCATCTGGGTTGCACATAGTTGATGCATCTACATATGCAATTCTTTCAAAGCAATAAACTCTGGCACATCATTTGAACGTGCACCAGGGACCACAGTATGTTGAGCTGGGTTAGAGCAGCTCCAGCTGGGTCAACCTACCAGCCTGGGGCTGCTCTGACCCAGCTCAGTGTGCTTCAGAGGGGCTTGCTGGGGTACGAGGGTGCTTCAATGCCAGGCTAGCCTTACAGGTAGCCCCCTCACTGAAGCATCCTCGTGCCCCAGCCAGCCCCATCAGTGTCTACACATATGCTGCTGTGCAGTAAATAACTGCACTAGAGTTATTATGGTGGAGTTTATTAGTTTACTAGCACATGTAGATGCAGAGACTTTACTACAGAGCTAATTAGGCAGCTCCGCAGTAAACGTCTTGTGCAGATGCACCTACAGACACCCAGTTCAGGGTTAGCTCTGGCCCTCAACCAGAATTTTCCAGAGGCAGAAAGGGCAACACCAGCCTTCTGCAATTATAGAAAATTGTCTGAGGGGGCATGCTCGCCTGACAGGTAATTCCTGCCAAGGGAGGGCGACTACTTCACAGTGCTTGCTGGTATACCCTTGCTTCCCACTTTC